CGAAGTCATCCAAAGATGTTCTATGAAACCTGCCAATCTGAATTAATTTCATCTCAAATTGCGTTATTAGCATCGTCTCGGTGTCAACTTCTTATCAACATCTTATTGATACATATCGTATCTGTTTCGCAATACACGCATTCATATGTTTTGTCCGTTTTAATTCGTTTATCTGAGAGATCGGTAATATTCAGAAAAAGTGATGACGTGATACGGGAATTTTATATTCGGTAATCGGTGAGTAAAATATTCGAATCATTGTGCGTTTTGAAATTATCGAGCGTTATTCCGACCTTCAACACGCTGGCCTAGATAATATCGCTAGTCGATGCGTCGGTCTTACATACTAAACTCCGGTACTCCAAACCGAAGGGATCTTTAATAGAAAGAAAGAAAAAAGACAGTTTTTCTTTCACAGAGGTACGACAAAAGAGATTCATAATTTCGGATCGGCCAAGCCTTTAAAATACACTCGAGAATAATATCGTATACAAGAGTTCCTTTCCTAACACATTTCTGAATGCCGTGAGCGAAACGGTGCGAGAATCACGAGCAGGTTCGCCTCGGAACGAAATTTTTCCCTCGATTTCACATCGACAAAAGGGACTCGTCCCGTGAACCTTCCACGAAAGCGATGTGTCCTGCCTGTAGAACATCCTCCTTGACAGGTTCCTAGTGCTCGGTAGCGACGCACGGAACAAGAACGACGGGGCTCCGAAGTGAAATTTCGTCTTCAATTTTCGACCGTCCGCGGGGACCGTTTTCTCGTTCGAAACGCCTTAAAGTTCGAGTCATAAAACGTTGCCACGTGTTATCCGTTGATGGAGCGGGATCGTCGCGACGGTCATACGAGCTGGAAACAAAAGTGGCGCAGGTTCCTGGACCGGTGACCAGCGTGTCCGCCTACGCGAGGACGCTGGTCGTTCTAAAAATATACAATCCGGTCCGCGCATACGGTGCTACCGGTTTTAAATCTCGCAGCTACCGTCCAGGAACCGATTCAATACTTTCCGCCGAAATAAAAGGAGCGGAGTCAGACTGCCGCGAGGACAAGGGAAGAAGAACGATAGGGGTGCTCGACCGGGACGCTCTCGCTCAGTCCCTCTGAACTCGGAGATCGTTAATGTTGATCACTTTTCGAGCCAGTTGCGTTCAGGAACGTCGGCGCGAATTGCTATCGACGGGACTCAACGGGAAGACGATCGTTAAAACGACGGTTGCAGATGCCGCGCGATTCACGGAACGATTATGATTTTTCTGTTCAATCGGACGAAACGAGATATGTCGAAGGGAGTCGCGAGCGAGTACTGGGTTTGCGGAGATAACGTCGAGAGCAGGGAATAGATTTTAAATAGAGTTACAACTGTTCGGCAGTGTTTATCGCTAATTTTCGTTTAGCCCACGATGAGTAGATCACACCCATAAAGCGGTTCTTCTAAAATAATCATCTATAGTGGACGTTCGATAAACTGTACGGTTACTCTTTCTAAGAGATAAGATAAGCGTGCAAGTTTCCTTATAAAACGAAAGAAGATAACCGAAATATTTAGTTGACTTTCAATCCGTCGAAGAACAAGCAGATACGACGGTAGAACTTGTTTGGATAAAAAGACAGCAACTGACACAATCGTTACACGTAAGTTACAGCTACATACAGCTGTGTAAGTCATGTGTATTGTGTAATATAACTACTTTAAGCCGAACCGAGGAATTCGAATTGTTAATTACGTCCGAGCGATAATTGGAAGTCGGTAGTATTTCATCACCCGTCAGAATACAGTGATCGCCGTTACGTATCACGTGTCTGTAACACCGTAGTTGAGCAAAACTCTTCCATTAAAAAAAAATATTCAGAGAACGTGACTTCCATTTTAATTTTCTTTTTTTTTATATTAATAACCGTTGCCGTTTCCCGTCCATCGATCACCGTTCGGATGCAAGATTGCAAAGAGAAAAGGAGTCCGAGGAGGATCGCCGTAGAAAAGAACGCAGAAGAAGCGCGACGCGGAGGTAAAGCTCGGTAGCCGGGCATTACCAACTAATTAAGATCCCAATAAAATCTAATCGGCGCGGCAGCTATAAATCACCGCAGTCGGATGGCTTGTGATGCGGAAAAGTAGTTTGGCGAGCGCTGCGTATCGACATTTCGAGTTCGATCGATTAATATCTTTCGCGTCCTCGCGGGTGAATTTGATTAACGGCATCAAGTGCGTTCGACTAGGCTGTTGCACGCGCGCGAAATTGCCGGTCGCTGTCTACCTGCTGCTCTAACTCGCATTAAGCATCGATCTGTTCATATCGATGTGCCGTTCTCCGCCGGGACGGATCCGATCGACTCCAGTTTCTATCGTCGGTAATGTCATCTCCCTGTAACGTCATCCCCGACACGACCGCCGCGGATTCACCTGGCCTTTAACTCTCTCATCAGATATCCGATGACAATGTCTCGCCGCGCCGTTCTCGCCATTAATCTATTCTCCTCTCGCTTTGTCGTCAACCTGCCCCCAGTGAATGCAGATAGTCCCTCGATCGTTCGAGTGACTCGCTCAGCATCGCTGAATCAACGCCGAGCAACTCCGATACCGTGTTTATGTGTTTCACGCGTTCCTCGGATTCATTCGCCGGCCATTTGCAAGTATAAACGCTAAGGGTGGACTGATCGGGGGGACGTTGTTCAATTTCACCAGATCATAGTTTTGTGCTGGACGATCGGAGTACTGTTGTTTCTGAGAAGTTCTTAACAGTTGGTCAGTGGTCGTTTATGCAAATTGAAACCTTAGCAAGCTGTGCTTTGTCAGATGATAAGCGGATGAAGAAATCGTGTAACCTATTCGCTATGTTTATAATGTATAGTATACAATAAATAATTTAAAGATTGATAGCTAGCCGGGAAATATTGTTATAAGCGACTTTTTTCCGAAACACTCGACAATGGACAATGGAATCTTGAATGTGGTTGTTCTGACAATTTGTATAAGAGAATAGAAGTTCTTCAACACAATGCGAATAATTCCAAGTTGATTGAATAGATTCGTTTTGTTTAACCTTCTTTTATAGTTTCGCATGCGACGAGATGCCAAGGAAAACGATAAGATCCAAATGAAAGTTTACGGCCGTCGGTATAAAATATTCCATCATATGGGTTTTCGATCTTTCTTCTCCAATTTTTTCGAAATCCCATTGTGCCCCTACAGGGTAATAACACCAATATTTATTTATGTGATTGCATTGTACGGCCAGTAGCAAGCGCATCGATGCATCGTATGCATTGTGAATCAGCGCTCGCAGTAGGCGCACATTGTGTTCTTGTTTCTCTGCCTGTTTACCCATTCATTGGTCGCATAAAAAATTGTCACTTAGCCAAGTATTGCGATCCCATGAACATCGTTTGCATCCCCGGGAATTACGGCGAAATTAAACGTCGTCACGTGTCCCGCTTTATTCAAACGGGTCGGGCGCGTGCGAATATTTTCGTACCCGTTTGCGCCGAGTAAATTAATGCGAATCCTTAGCACCGTTTTTAGTAGCCGTGAGGTTTATAAGCGTTTCTCAAAACAATGATAAAAATCGAGAATCGCCTCTTGTCCGTTGTCCCGATCACGGAAATGTACACGACACTCTCACATTACTAACTATGTAAGGTAATCAGGTAACCGGGTAGGTACAAGCTTGCAATATCTAATTAAAAATTTTCTATGTTCCAGTTGGAAAATCGTAAAACTGTTTTGGATCATCATTGTTTGGATCATATTATACTGACTAACATTAGTATGAAAAAGTTTTATAAAAGTTTCGAATATCAAGTTTTTAATTATATTTATATACTTCTTCGAAAACAATTTATATGACCATTAAAGAGGATTATTTGATTACGCCTTAATTATTTACTAATTGAAATTAATGTACCCCTTTTTTATGATTCTAATGATATTTTCATACACTTGATTAATCCGAGCTGGAAAGCTTGGATTAATAGCCCGGTTATCGAATATAAAAATTTTTAAAAATTTTACTTGTCGACATAAAAGTGTGGAGACTGGCGAGGACGTTTTGGAGTTGATAATAATTCCGGTTCTTAAAAATCGCGTATCCGCGCAACTTCAACTACCTACCCCCGTGGAGTTGCTCGCAGAAACTACGCAGTTACGCTCGGGTGTCGTTCCGTCGTGTCGTACGCGCCTCTACAAACCGCCTCGGAGTGCATGCAAGCGTGGCGTGCATTTGTGTGGGTTCCCTCTCACTCTCTCTCTTCTGTCGAGATCTCATTGCTACATGCTACACGATTCGCTCTATTCCTCCGTAAGCGGTTTACATTAGCCACTTAGAAAGAACCTTTTCTTGTAAATCTTTCTTCCCCCATCAATGACGAAAAATATATTTAACAAGAACTTCTATTAAAACAAGAAATGTTTGAAAAAGAATGAACTTTCAAGAAATTCTTTCCTTCACAAGAACACTCTATTCTCTTTTTCAAATAAACTTCTCTAATGTTCGTTATCTTAATTTTTTCAAATACACCTTTTAAACAGTCAGTTCAATCATCGCGATGCACAGTACGATATTCTTTTGCAATTTGCAACAAAATCACCCGTAACATATATGCGTAAATATAGAAGAAAAAATTCAATTGTTCCATCGACACGTAATCGAAGCCACCCGTCGCCCGTTTACAAAAGTTTTGATTTCCATTACATCTTTTTACCCCACTTGACCCCAAACCGGTAAATTTACAACGCTGCGACCACGCGCAAGCACAGGGAAAACACACGCTCGCGCGGCGCTCACGCACGTTCACCCGTCCCCCCACCCGACCGGACTCTTTCTTTCCTCCCTTTCTTCGCATCGTACGAGTCCCGTGTGCGCGCGCATCGTTCCCCCACTGCGCCCGGCGAACCGGCCGCGCGATGCCGTGAGTTGGTGGGGGTAGAGTCTGTTGCCGCTACGAACGTGCGCGCCGTGTGCTCGGAACCGAAAGCACAGAATCATTACCACGCCAGACCTCGAGGAGTGTAGACGTGTTTCTCGTTATACCTCAGCTCAGTCGAGAGTTCTCGTGTTGCTTTTTTTTACTTTCTTACCTTGCGCCCAGCACGCGTGTGATAGTCGTGCCAAAGAGAAAGAGAGAGCGGACAGTCGAGAGACGACGCAACGTGATTTGTTTCTACGGCTTTGTCGACCGTCTGCGTGACAACCAACAACGACAACAATAGCAATACATACATACGCACGTTTATACGACCGAAACGGGAGGAAACGCGGCAAACGAGATCCATCCCGCTGGTTTTTCATCCGATCGCGGTTCAAGTTACGTTTTGTGCGGCTCCGCGCGAGTGGCAATCGGAGTCGGACTCTTCCCGAGTGCATCAGTGTGTCGTGCTGCTGCGTACCGCGAGGACATTGAACTCTCTGTGTCGTATCCTGCGGGACGTACTCGAACTGTCATCCCCCGGTGCTCCCGTTCGAAGGACTGTCGAGACAATCCGACGATACGCAATCTCAATCGTAAAAAATTGTATACAAATTACGGGAACAGTCTGCGTCAGTAAGACTGACACGTGAGTAGAGTTTGAAAAAAAAAGACAAACGGAACGGAAAAAACAACGATACTTCGTCTGTTACTCGATCTCCGTGACTTTACCATAGAATCGTTGATCGAGCTCGACAAATTCAGCCTGCATACAGCACCTATGGAAAGTGATCCATACGAGGATCCACCTTACAGGCGCTGCAGACGACGCGATTGAGAGAGACGCGGACAGAGAGAGCTGAGACAGACGGAGTTTGAGAGGCGGTTGTCGTGACGGGATCATCCGCGTCCCAGTTTTCCTCCCGGTTGAAATTACCGCGGTGTATCGCGGGCCACGTGCGTTTTATACGGACAATCCGTGGCGGCCGATAGAGCTAGTCGGGTAGTCTCGGCGACGGAACATTGGAGCGTGCGCTGTGCGAAAGTCACGTGTGTGCCGCCGAAATACGAAAATACGTCACGCGGTCCCCCGGACCAGATACCCGTGCGGCAGCGCGCGCGCGAGAGATCCTTGACTCTTTGTTTTCCTTCTTCCGTTGCACGATCCATTCGCCCCTTCTCCGAAGGGAGGAGAGAGTCGCCGAGAAAGAAGGTGATACCCCGAAAGGTCGTTGTTTCCGTTTTGTGCGTGTTCGCCGAGCGAGGGGTCGGTCGGAGAAAAGAAATATAACAAGTAAAAGTGGTTAGTGCGTTGATCCACGGACATATATTGGTTCGATTGCAGTGGCCTTCCGCTTGAAATAAGAAAACAAACGAGAGAACAACGAAAAGAGCACGAGAAGCAAGGAGGAGGACAAGCGCACGTTCAGAGTGAAGGACCAGAGCAGCGCACCTGCCGTCACCGAGAAATGGCGATCCCGTTCTCTTTGCCGTCCGACGACGACGCGGAGGCCCAGGGACAGCAGCTGGAGCAATTGATGCTCGATCTGTACGCCGCCCTGCAACAGGTCCTCCGGAGCAGGACCGCCCAGCATCCGTCGCGAAATCGTGAGTTCTACGATTTTTTAAGATTCGTACACACCTGCCTCGGCGCTATCCTACATGTCCTTGCACGGCTGTTGAACTACCCGACGCGGCGAATGACTTGCCCGTTTCGTCAGACCAGGGCTCCTCGGGAAAACGAGCCGGGCTAGTCAAGTCAAGTAGTAGAAAACGTCCTGTGTACCGTCCAATTTTTCACGCTGATCTTTCTCCATTTTTGTGCTAATCGTTCTCACTGCCGCGACTTGAGACGATCTTACCATGACCCTTGGTCTCGACGAATTTCCAGAAAAATACACCAAAAAGAGACGACATGGGAGTTAGCTGTACGATTGCATGAGAGCACGATGACACCTACAGACACCCTCTTGCTTATCCTCCGTGAGGACTGGTAGCGGGCACCGACTCTGGTGATACGTAGTCACGGAATCGTAGTCACACTAACCCTATCTCGTGCTATGCAGCCCTACGCGAGGCTCGGCCGAGTCATCGAATACGGAATTGCGTTTTCTCGTGACATGACATCGCGTCTAGGAGTCGCGTATTTTAGTTCGATAATGACTCGGGCAGAATCGTGCATCGAAACCTTTGATATCTCAACCGTACTGGAATAATCAATCTTTTTAGCGTTGATTATAACTTGCGTAAATTGAAGTCACGTTTTTTTTACTCATAATTTAATTACTCTGTAAATATATGAAACGTACACGCGCGATAATGACTGGGTCCTACATGCGACTGCTCTTGAAAGATCTTCCACTTTTCTCATCTATTGGTACTAGTCCTGTTTCTTTGATAGATAGATCCCGGGAAGATTGTAAATTTCGTCAATGTTATACATTGGGGAAATGTCGAACGCCTACTGTTGTCTTTTTATTCTTTTGTAATTTATACACTTATTTATTCATATAATTTATTGTTCCGTTGCACGCTCTTACTATATCTCTTACTTTCTGTCTCTTTTTCTATTTCTATTTTTTTACCTGTACTTTGTAACACGATACGTAAATTGACTGAATAAACTGTGAATACGTTAAAAATTCTCTCTCGTCATCACATTGATTTCCACTTTTCCCGCTCGGGAAACGCGTGCTCCGGTTGCACGCGCAACAACGTGCTGTATCGACTAGGAGTGCAACACGTGGTTGTCGCGCGCAACAACGCGGCCCGCTTTTAGCGCGCTCCGCAAATTCTTGATACAGTTCCGATGGGACACTCTTTGGAATGTCTGTTCATGGAGGATCTCGGGGGTACACTTCGAAAAATAGTAAGTCCTCCGATTCTTTAACCCTTCTCCTGGCCAAAAGTGTTCGATCAAAATGGTGTACGTAGATTGCTAAATGTAATTCTTTATACATATATAGAAAACAGTTCACAATATTGCATGTGCAACGAAGAAGCAGAAAAAAAAAGTTTAACGGTAAAGTCGACTGAAAAATTTCTTCTATATCTAAAGGTGATTAAAGTTTTCCATTATTCGCTGTTCGATCTTCGTATTTTGTACTTTAGAACGACACCAATATTCATAGACATTATTATTAAAATCATTCTTACAATCAATAATGTCTTTGATCGAATAACTTTCGCCAGGAGTAGTTCAGTAGAACTCCATTTATCTGAAGTCTTACCCAGATAGTAAATTCGTTCAGATATACAATTAGACTTATAACCAGATTTCTGTGACAAAATTACTTCAAAGTCAGTTTCGTTGCTCAAACACAGTGATTCACATTATTCAGGCTATGGACTTTCCAGCCATGATCAGAGTTACCAGTATTATACTTCATGTTTCGACTGTCCCAGCTGTTTTCCTGTCTTCCTAAACTTCAGATTTTTGGAATTCCACCGTAACTCCAACTTCGTGTCGTAGAATATAAGAGAAACACGGGAAAAAATGTTCAAAATACGTTACAAAGTAACGTGCAAAGCTAAGCCACAGAATCCTGGAAAGTTTGCTTTGCATTAATTCAGGTCGTTCGGACGCGTGAGCGCGCGTGCAGCAGGCCGCGAATCGGTCCGCGAGGTTGTCGACCTCCAGCCGGTCGGTTGCACGATTTTGTCGAAAATTTCGATACACTTGATGGCGGTCGTTGTCCTATGAGTCATCGTCGAAAAATTTCGGTCCAGCCGATCTACCGCGGCGTATTCCCGACACCTTTCGCGATTCGCGTCATCTTGGACACGTAGCAGCGGAAGGACGAGCGCGAGTCGCCAAAACCTGCCAAATCATGCTTCCCACTCGTAATATTTCCAAACGATGAATTAATCACGATCTTTCTCCGACTATAACTTACAAGCAGTATTGGGGAATTTTACGCTTAACTATCCTGTCTTACTAACACGTCAGACTTTCGACACTTGAGATCGCTTTGGTAGAGTAGCTGACTTGCTATGTATTTCATAGCAATCCGCAATTTCTTTTTTTCCTGCACTATCTTCAACCTGCTGACACTGTTAACACAACTAATCAAATTCTGTCTTGCTCTACTTTCGTAGGTCTTTACAAAAATGCGCAGTTTATTAATTTTTTCAGTGTCTCTACTTGAAGCATACACTATCCTTACTCGATTACTAAAATCGAAGTTAACCATTCATCTACCCAAAGATCAACGAATTTCCAAATAAAACGATAGACATATTTAAAAGAGAAGTGTACTAAAAAACTGAAATAATAACACGCCAGTTATAATTCACCTAACTTGGACATCATCGAACAGAGCCGATGGGGCTTATTTTCGTGCACTGACGAATTCATTAGCACGCAGAATTACGAGTCGGGATTCGATAATTGTTTGCTCGCCACCTGCCGCGCGATGCCGAACCACCGGTAGATATCCCGTCTATCGAATAAAGTAACGCTTGGACGTGTATAATAGAAAATCCTGGCGCGCGAGGGGACAGCCGGGGAAAGGGCGGAAAGTCGTGCGAGAGGCATAAATTGCGGTAACTTATATTCGGCGCATAATGAAATGCGGCTTTACGAGGGTGCAGCAAGCGAAAGGGGGCGAGTATAACAGATGTAGCGTGGGTGTAGAGTCGAGAGTATGGCAGACGATGTCCGGCCATGACCCTGCACCGCTGTTCCGAGCCTCCTTTACGGCGAAAGAGACGGCGCGGTCGGCCGGATCGACAGGAGAAGAGTAGGAGTGGTGGAGCAGCGGTGGGACGGGAGAGAGCCGGGAGAGAAAAAGAGAGAAGACCGATGGTCAGGCACACCGGAGTAAAACGCGTCGTAAAACGCGATGCAACGGCTCGTTCCCCGAATCTCGGATGTCGATCCTGTCTGCTTCGCGTTCGCCGGAGATTGCCGGTATCAACCGCGAAATGCGTAAAGACGACGCGTTGAAATACGTTGTCCGGGACCGCGATACTTAAACGCTGCTAACCGGTCGATCTTGAAAAGGGAAATCCGATCGCGGGACCGTTTGCCAACGAATAGGAGCCCTGCTTTCTATAATAATTTTCATAATAGCAGGCCGTCGGTCGAGCACATCGAGTTTCTTGATAATTTATAAAACGTCGCCGGGTTGCGAGGCTCGATCGCCGATGAATTCATATCCACCGTCGCTGAAAACGTTCCGAGCCGAAGGTCAGCGCGCTCGAGTCGCTCGATTAATCCCGAAGCGTACGCTGGCTCTGGGTATCGTTCTAAATCCATTTCATCGTAGTTTTACGGCGGAGAGACTAGCTAACTATCCTTTGATCTCGCCGCGGCGCGTGGAAGTGTCCCGAACGAAACCGCAAATTGCATCCGGTCGTCGTTGTTCACCGTGATACCGTTGTCTTTCGCAGTGACGCAACACCGTCGTGTCGTGTCGCGCGCTCGGCGGTTTACGAGTCGTTCCGTCTCGTCGAACGATCGGAGCAAAGCTTTGCGATGATTAGAACAGTGTTACGGTTCCCGTAAGCTTTGGACACTTTTGCAATAGTCTAAACATTAAGTTCGGAAGTTCTGATCGATCTTAGACACTCCGTTCAAAGTGCCTGACGGATGAAGATACTTCTGTCGATGATAACGTCTAAAGTTTGATTACGATCCGATATTCAAGAGACGCTAAACTCCGACATTGCATCGATCGCTGGCGTATCGCAGTAAAACGTTCCGGTTCCAAGTTCCGGCGGTCACGTCGTAAATCAACTGAACAGTCAGAGATCCGCGGGAGTATCCTCATTATGAAGTTAAATTATGCGCCGGGATCCGCGGTTCATTATTTCCCGAACGGAAATAGTTGGCTCGCGCGTCTGAGGGTCAATAACCATAGTTGCCGGCGGCGCGCGCGAACGGGCCAAGAGCGAGCAGCGGTTTCGAGAGAAGATGCAGAATCCGGCGGGCGTCGTTGCATCGAATCGGGGGTGGTTATTTATAGAAACAGCTGTGGCCAGCCCCGTTTCGAGACTTCTCCCGTGACATTTGCAGAAAACTTCCCCCTCGTCATCGCGCTCGCGTAAACCCGACCACGGTAATAACGATTACGCTATCCGATAACACGTCTTCGTTCTTCTCTATCTGTCTCTTTGTGCTACTCGCCACGGTATGTCTCCCTATTCAACCGCAGGATAAATAACATCGATGTTTTTATTTCGCACCCGCTGTCCCTCTCCGTTTTCTCACATCGCGTCGATAAGCGAATCGAACGGTGTCCGCGATCGCGCTCTAATCAGAGGCGTTTAATTTCTTGGAATTTCGGGGTAGAAATGCGTATCCCGGAGCAATTTCATGTTTGTTTCGTTGTTCGATTCCGAAAATCGATTCCTCCTGTCCGTGGTTGGTTATTCCTTCTTACGTTTCATGAGTTCTAAGAAAATATGTCGAAATTATAGGAACCGTTTGAAATTTTATGATGCATGACAGCTTTTTAATGTTCAACGGGATCGTTCAACTTTGTATTCGATATTGTCCTCCCACCGGAAGATAAAAAGATGGTCGATCCGGGAAGCCGGGGACAACAGCCTACGGCCGACATCTATAGAGCTGATGAAATATTGAAAGCAATTCGTCTTTGCCG